GATTGTTTTCCTGATTTATTGCAGAAAAAGCAGCCTGAGCGGTGAATGTTGCCTTCTGACACACTTCCGGTGATGTCAGGGGCGTGTGGCATATGCACATAAATTATGCTAATGAGTTATGCTAATGAGCTCCTGCACCTCTTTTTCTATGAGATGACCCCTGCAGAAACTGAACAAGTGCTGGAGACAAATACCTTCTTCCAAAACATAGATCCCAGGACAGGAGCCAGTTGGGATTAGCAAATTGTTTACTGAGGAAGTTAAAACTTGTTTTATGTGCTAAAGATCTAGTATTGGAGGTCTGATTTTTGTTTTTCCCCACCTGTTTTGTTGTGCTGCCCCTTGTGGTACATTTTATGCAAAACAAACTTTGACTGGAGACTGCAATGTACTTGAAATTTTACTTATCAGTAAGAGCAGCTCTGATTCTATTAGGAATCAGCTAAGAATAGAATTTTCTCTCCAGAATGCCTACTTAGGCCCCAGTTACACGGGCCGGATATCGCGTGACTGTTTGCCCCGGAGTGAACTACTGCGCGGCAGTGGGATCAAACGTCCTGCTGACGTCCCGTGGTTGGGGGGGAGGTGCCGGGGAGGTGCCGATCATACGTCACTCCTGCGGCACGGCAAAGAAGCGGATCGGCGGTTGTTTTTTTTTTTTACCCAAGTGTTCGCATGCTCCGTTGGGTGCTTGTGCACATCCCGTGGAGACTTGGGGGAAAAAACCACCTTTTCGCGACGGGACATGGGCGGGCGCCGGATGCCACAGGAAACGTGATCAGACGCCCGCCCTTGCCCCGCGGTCTCCGGAAACTAGTACCTCGGAGGTACTAGTTTTTTACCCAGCATCTTTGGCGAGAAGCCTCGGGTGAGCCACGGGAGCTCTACACTTCCCGCACTGGGATCGCGCCCAGAAAATCCGCCTATCTTCCGTCTCTGTAGCGTGGCTAATGCTCCATGTGACTGCAGCCCCTTACTACAGAATCAAACTTGCTGAGAAATTTTAGTTCAGCTATTTTAGTCTAGAGTATTAGTATGAAATGTTTTATGTTGAATACTGATTTTTAGGTCAGTAGCAGAGTGTCTTGAGTGACATGCATGTAGGTATCTTTGAATCAAACGGTAATTACTCCCAAGTAAGCCTGCATATGGCTAGCATCCCCATGTATAAGAACATAAGAACATAAGAGACGCCAATGTTGGATCAGAGCATCACTTGCCCCAGAGCCCCTATCTATACCTTGTGGCTAATAGCCACTGATGGACCTCTGCTCCATATGCTTATCTAATTCCCTTTTGAAGCCGTCCATGCTTGTAGCCGCCACCACTTAGTGTGGCAGTGAATACCATGTGTTAATCACTCTTTGGGTGAAGAAGTACTTCCTTTTATCCGTTCTAACCCGACCGCTCTGCAGTTTCATGGAGTGCCCACGAGTTCTTGTATTGTGAGAAAGGGAGAAAAGTACCTCTTTCTCTACCTGCTCTTTCCCATGCATAATCTTATAAACCTCAATCATGTCACCCCTCAGTCATCATTTCTCCAAGCTAAAGAGCCCTAAGCGCTTTAACCTTTCCTCATAGGGAAAGTGTTCCAACCCTTTTATCATTCGAGTTGCCCTTTTCTGCACTTTTTCCAAAGCTATAATATCCTTTTTAAGGTGTGGTGACCAGAACTGCACACAGTATTCCAAATGAGGTCTCACCATTGATTTATATAGGGGCATTATGATATTGGCTGATCTGTTTTCAATACCCTTCCTAATAATCCCCAGCATAGCATTGGCCTTCTTTATTGCAGTCACACACTGTCTCGACATTTTCAGAGAGTTATCTACTACAACTCCAAGATCACTCTCTTGATCAGTCTCTGCCAGTTCAGACCCCATCAATGTGTATTTATAGTTAGGATTTTTGGCTCCAATGTGCATCACCTTGCACTTGGCCACATTGAACCCCATTTGCCATGTTGACGCCCACTCGCCCATCCTTGACAGATCCCTTTGGAGTGCTTTCTATATGCGCCAGGGGTCATTTTGTAGAAAAAGAGGTGCAGGAGCTCATCAGCATAACTCATTAGCATAACTTATTTGCATATGCCACACCTCCTGACATCACCGAAAGCATGTCAGAAGGCAACACCCACCGCTCAGGCTCCACTGGACTGTTTTGGATTGCTAGCTATTGGGGGGGACGGGGAACCTGCAGATCTGCCCTCACAGAGGAGGGAGAGCTTGTACCTGAAGGTGGGCCGGGGGGGGGCTCTGCAACTTACCTGGCTGTTTCTTGCTCCTCATGGCCCAACTGAGGGCTGCTGGGAGCAGGGGGTGGGGCTTGTTGCATGTGCCCGCCCCCTGGGCTCCTTACTGCCGGAGCTCCACTCCTGTGCGCTCCCGCAGGAAATGACCCCTGATATGCGCAAACACGCCTGAGGATAAACCTAAAAACACCTGAGGTTGTATTTCATGACTGATTATCCCCCGAGAAATCTGCTTGGGTGGTTCTACACTAGGGCTCTTCTCTACCGTCAAGTCATCATTGTTCCAGCTTTAGCAGTATGCAGAATTACACAAAACAGTGTTCACAAACGGGTGAATACTGTGCTTTAAAAATAATTTACCTCCAGCATTTTTCCATCCAGACAGGGGGTTCTGTTCTGTTATTACCCTCAATATTGGTCCCCCTTTTACTGGCACTGGCAGAAGTATACTTATATATTTTCTTTGGTGGTTGGGAGGCTGACAATAGGAACGATGCTTTCCATCACACTCTGAAGCACAGATCATCCTGAAACGTGGGGAAAGAGTGAACACCAAGAAGATTGCACTTCTATCATGCACAATTGCATTAGCTCTTAGAAAAAAACAGGTACCATAAGGTGGAAAGCATAGAATAATGGATTGATGATATCTGGCACCACCATTATAACGACATGTACAAATTAAGGTACACGATACAATCGACTAATATAGGATTGTCACCCTCCAGGTGGGGCCTGGAGATCTCTTGGAGTCAACTGATCTCCAGACGCGAGATCAATTCCTCTAGAGGAAATGGCTGCTTTGAAGGACAGACTCTAAGGCTGCCCACCTCCAGGTGTGAACTGGAGTCCTCCAGAATACAGAGATCAGTTCACCTAGAGAAAATGGCAGCTTAGAAAAATGAACTCTTTGGCATTACATCCCGGCTGAGCTCCCTCTCCAGGCACTACCCCCAAATCTTCAGGGATTTCCCAAGCTGGGAGTTGAGAACCCTAAACTAGAGGGAAACCAACCACCCTTAGCCTTAAAGATAGGAAAGGCTCTTTTTTTTGGTTTTGCATAATAGTCTAACCAAGCTGCTCCTATTGCACTCACACAGAACTGCAATATTCCTTTGTTTACTTGTCAGTTAGGACTTGGGTACCTATTCAGATTCCTGCAACAGAGACAGGTATGCTTAAAATACATCTTTTTATAAACAAGGAGATACACAGCTGAAGCTGTGACCAGGATGGCACAGGGGCTAGCCTGATCTTGCCAAATTTCAGGAGCTAAGCAGGGTCGGCCCTGGTTAGTATTTGGATGGGAGACCAGTAAATAAGTCAAGGGTCTCAACACAGAGGTCAGGTAATGACAAAACACCTCACCTTGAAAGCCCTATGGGGTTGCCATAAGTCGACTGGGATTTCATGGCACTTTACACGCACATACCGATAGAAGGAACCCATTTCAGAACAAGAGCACTCAAACAGAACTACTATTAGGGAGGGACCCCACCCCATGAGACTTAACCAACTCACAGAAATATGGGGCGGGCGGGCAGACCATTCCATTGCAATTCATGCAGATCCACACAGTAAATATACCACAAGAATATCTCCCTTCAAGACTTGCAACAAAAAACCCAAGGAAATACATGCAGAGATCCAGAAAATTCTCAAAATCAAATTTCTACTGAATCCAGAGACAGTTATTGGGAATGATTCCAGATAATGTTGAAAACATATCACAAGACTTATTCAGATACTTGTTAACTGCGGCAAGGGCATAATTTGCATCAATTTGGAAAACAGAAGATTGCCCAACTAAAGCAGCCTTGTATGACAAGCTAGCTAAATATGCCATAATGGCAAAGTTAAAAAATCAAGTAAATAAAAGCCCAATTACAGAATTTCAGCAGAAATGGAAAGCGTATTACTCATATTATGGGTAAAAGTGTTAAAATAATATTAAGTAATATGTAGAATTTTTCTGGAAAGAGTTATAAATCCTAATCGCTAATAGCGTGGTATCTATCATTGCCCACGGGCAAGCGTGCTCTCCATTATTCCCTATAGGCAATCATCATGCAGTCTCTATGGGCAATCGCTGACCTTAGTTTCAGTATGTCTCTATAATGGAGCAGAGAAGATATCCTACTCTTGATCTTTGTATTATATATGTAATGTATCCGCCATTACCACGTGCGCGACCGTTGGGCCATGCGGTCAAACACTAGCCCAAAGCTTCGTTCTTGCAGAACAATAGCGGAGCGGATCCTAGCCCGCACCAACTAGAGGGCCAGGTCCGCGGCCGAGAGCCTATGGGACTCTCGGCCACTGTAAATAACCTATAGGGTGACTAGGTGGTGTGTTTTGGTGGCGGGTTTCTGTGTATATATACCGGCCTGCGTGCCGGGGGTTCTTCGTCTTGTTCTTCACTAAATAAAGTACTCTTGCTGAAATCACTCCTCGTTCTGAGTACTTTTCAATATATTAGAATTGTGTCCTCAACAAATGTAAAAGCTTCTGATGACTAATGATTTTTGATACCTCTTTTCCCTTCTTTTTCTGTACCCTTGTAATTATACAATAAAATAAAATATTTAGGAAAAAAAGAATACCTCCCTTCATGTTTTCCCCTACCCTATTGCTTTGTCACCCATGCCATACACGATGTAAAGGCTGATACATACCGAGGACTACAACTCCCATGGCGCACGTGGGAGGAGAAGCGAATCCCAGCAGCCACTGCGCACGATTTCCGCAAAGGACACGTCGCCGCGGAAAGCAAAAGGGTTGAGATGGAAGCGACGGCCGCGCGAGAAGCGGCGTCTCGTCCATTGGACGCGCCGCTGCCCGTGGCAGACTTGGTGCCGCTCTCGGTGCTGGTGGCGTTGGTCGTCGTGGCCCTCACTCTGCGTGAGTCTCGTCATCGCTCTCCCGCTTCGCTCGGCGGGCTTTGTCAGGCCGGAGAGGAGGCCGGGGCGGGGTGAAGGGAGAGACGCAGCTGAGGGGAAAGTCCTGAGTGGGCTAACGGCGGCAAGACAGGCAGGCCTCCTGCTGGTGTGCGGAGTCTCCCACCCACTGTCTTCGTTTTGCCCCCTACGGAGAGTTTGGGCGCCCCGTGAATCGTTCAGGGTACAAAAGAGTAGCCGTGGGTGGATCAGGGCAGTGGTCTACTTGGTCCAGCAGTCAGATGCAACGGGGAAGGAAGCCCACAACGAGGGGAGCCTGCAGGTAACAGCCCTCGCCTGCTAGCTGCTCTCCTGCATCTGCCAGCATCCCCATCCCTTCCCCCAAACTGCCCAATCTTTTCTTTGTGTGGTTGCACACAACCCTCCTGCTTTTAGCCTTCTGGCAGCCTTGAGGCTTCTCCCCCTACACCCGTGCTCTTCCACCACCCCCAATATGGGGGGGTGGGGTGGCTCTTCCTGCTCTTGTTTGTCCCCCAACCTAGTCATGGGGAAGATGTGCCCCCAAAATGAAGTTCTTTGTACAAAGCTTGAAGCAGATTTAGCTGTGACCAGTGTTTTCTCTAAGCTGAGTTAGTGTGAGCTAGCTCACAGTTTTTTAGCCTCCAGCTCACACGGTTCTGTCTTAGCTCAGGAAGGATGGCTCCAGAGGAAACTAGTTCATGCAGCAGTCAAATCGCTTGCTCACAACTCTAATGCCAGTAGCTCACAAAGTAGATTGTTTGCTCACAAGACTCTGCAGCTTAGAGGGAGCATTGACCATGACTGTAGATTGTATATGCAAAACAGCTTTTCTCATGTGTGACAAAAATTTGAGTTTTCTTGGGTGTGAGTACATAACAGGCTCTTAGCTTTTTAATCTCTTTCACTGTAGTGATTTTGAAATTTATCCAGACCAGGAAGAGCAGTCGGAGAGCGGTGCTTCTAGTGGGCCTCTGTGACTCAGGGAAAACTCTTATGTTTGTTAGGGTATGTAAATTACTTTCTCAATATTGACTCTTTCAGGCTGATTTCCAGATCAGCATTTTGCTGGCCCCTGCCACACGCAGGGGAAAAGGCGCTTGAAGGCGCGGCTTTTAAAAGCCGCGCCAATGTTGACACGGCGCGGCGGGATCCCCCGGATCCCCCGGCCGCGCCGCCTTTTCTCCCCGGCGCGATCAAACGCCGGGGAGAAAACACGCCCTACCCGGGGGCCGGCCGAACTGCGCATGTCCGGGCATGCGCAGTTCGGATCCGGGCCGAGGTTGAGCCGGCGCAGGGAAGCGGCGGCGATCAAACGCCCCGGTTGCCGCGCCGCTTCCCTTTAAACCACCTAGATAGGTGGTTCAGTTTGCGCCGGCTCATCCCGGGAAAGGGACAGTTTGGGTACGGAAGCCGGACACTTCCCAGATGTTGTGGTGTGATCGCGCCGGTTTGATCCGGCCCCAAACTGTCCTGCTCCCGGACCAAATCAGTGAGTGTGAACGGGACCGCTGTTTCCTTTCTTTTTGGTTAGAAGATTGTTTATTTATTATATTTTATTTTTGCATTTGTGTGTGTGCGCGCGCATGCGCTTCTGCCTGGAAGTCATGGCAACCTTTGGTCACTCCTACTGGGGCACGGAGGACATTCGGAGTAGTGTCTTGATAACCTGCCTCTGGCCTTGGTATTCCTTGGAGGTCTCCCATCCAAATACTCGCCAGGGTCGGCCCTGCTTAGCTTCTGAGATCTGACCAGATTGATCTTGCCTGGGCTATCCAGGTCAGGGCAAGACTGTGTGTTTTAATTTCATCTTGTTTATAAAGCTCTCTGAGATAAAGTATGATTGTATCTTGTTAACTATCATTGTGCTCATTTTAAAATATTGTTGCTGTTTATGCAAGTGACTGTCTTATTTTTAAATAGCTTAGTTTAGTCAGTTTTTAAAACAGCTTGAAGATGGACAGTTTAGATTAAATGTAAGTAGTATGACATGCTTGTATTAGCAAAAATATTTATGAAAGAGGTGTTCTAGATTCAGTGGCAAATATTGGAAATCAAAATGGCTCAGGCTTTTTTGCTGGGGTTTAGATTGTCATTAATACCTCTGGAACATTTAATTTCTCTGTGTTTTTTTAAATTTTAATAGCTTTTAACATCCAATTTCCGAAATACACAGACTTCCATAACAGACAGTTCTGCCTTGTACAGAGTTAAGAATGACAAGGTAAGAAGACTTCATGTTTTGTTGTCTGTAATATTCTTCTGACTACCTGGGTTGTTATGAACAATTGGCATCTGTAACCAGTTAGATAAGAGCTGCTAGTCTCTATGAAAGTTTTTTTTATAAGATTGCTTTCGTATTTTCTTTGTAAAAATGCAAAGTAGAGTCCACTCTCCCTCACACAAGTGCAGAGGTACACATTGTGGTAGAGCTATTTTGAGCTTTTCCTGCTCTAATCTCAGGCTCCTGTGATGTGCTAGGTCCTAATTTTGAGTGTCAGATGTTTTCACCACTCCAGTTCCTTGTCAGGGCCTTGGTGTGCCAGCACATCATGCTCCCATTACAGGCTTCTCTTGGACCACTAATACTAATTGCCTATGTGTTCATATTTTTTTTTAATTATATGTGCAGCTTTTTCAAAAACAGTTATCCTGATAAGTGTTTGATCGCTACACTTTAAAAATTATATTTATAGCGCATGAAAATGCTGTAGGTCTGCATATACTAATTTTTCTATAAATGCACATAAATTCATTGGGAGGTTTACATGAAGCATGAAATAATGGTTGACTTGTGTTTTCTCTGTAGACTTGAATTTATGGTAGAGACCAATACTTAGGTTGGTTTATACTTGTCTGTAGCCTCCACACGAATGCCTTAGGAGCACACAGAGACCTGCTGTTGAATTGGTACCTGAATGGGGCAGGGGTGCCTCCATTTTGTCAGGATTAAGTTTCAGTATATTAGCCCGCATCTATTCCAAAACTGCCTCCCGGCACCTGTTCATGGTTTCCACAGGCTCTCTGAGATCTGCTGACAGTGCGAGATAAAGCTGAGTGTCATCTGCATATTGCTGGCAGCTCAGCCCAAATCTCCAGATGACCTCTCCTAGTTGTAATGTTATTTTCAAATTACCTGTTTATTAGTCTTTTGAGGTCTAGCATAACATAAGAACATAAGAGATGCCAATGTTGGATCAGGCCAAAGGCCCATCCAGTCCAACACTCTGTCACACAGTGGCCAAAAATACCAGGTGCCATCAGGAGGTCCACCAGTGGGGCCAGGACATTAGAAGACCCCCTTGTCCACATGTTTGTTCACCCCCTCAAAGAACACCAACAGGTTAGTGAGACAAGATCTTCCCTTACAGGAAAAGTACCTCTTTCTCTACCTGCTCTTTCCCATGCATAATCTTATAAACCTCGATCATGTCACCCCTCAGTCGTCTTTTCTCCAAGCTAAAGAGCCCTAAGCGCTTTAACCTTTCCTCATAGGGAAAGTGTTCCAACCCTTTTATCATTCGAGTTGCCCTTTTCTGCACTTTTTCCAAAGCTATAATATCCTTTTTAAGGTGTGGTGCCCAGAACTGCACACAGTATTCCAAATGAGGTCTCACCATTGATTTATATAGGGGCATTATTATATTGGCTGATCTGTTTTCAATACCCTTCCTAATAATCCCCAGCATAGCATTGGCCTTCTTTATTGCAGTCACACACTGTCTCGACATTTTCAGTGAGTTATCTACTACAACTCCAAGATCTCTCTCTTGATCTGTCTCTGCCAGTTCAGACCCCATCAATGTGTATTTATATTTAGGATTTTTGGCTCCAATGTGCATCACCTTGCACTTGGCCACATTGAACCCCATTTGCCATGTTGACGCCCACTCGCCCATCTTTGACAGATCCCTTTGGAGTGCCTCACAATCCTCACTGGTTTTCACCACCCTGAACAACTTTGTATCATCCGCAAATTTAGCCACTTCACTGCTTACTCCCATCTCCAAATCATTAATGAACAAGTTAAAAAGCAGTGGACCAAGTACTGATCCCTGCGGTACCCCACTGCTTACGTCCCTCCACTGAGAAAATTGCCCATTTATACTCACTCTCTGTTTTCTATTAATTAGCCAGTTTTTGATCCATAAAAGGACTTGTCCTTTTATCCCATGATTTTTGAGCTTACTTAGGAGCCTTTGATGAGGAACTTTATCAAAAGCTTTCTGGAAGTCAAGGTAAACAATATCTATTGGATCCCCCTTGTTCACATGTTTGTTCACCCCCTCAAAGAACACTAACAGGTTAGTGAGACAAGATCTTCCCTTACAGAACCCATGCTGAGTCTGCCTCAATAGGTTTTGTTCATCTATGTGCCTACTAATTCTTTCCTTAATAATGGTTTCCACCAATTTACCCGGTATCGACATCAGACTGACTGGCCTGTAATTTCCCGGATCTCCTCTGGAACCTGTTTTTAAAGATGGAAGTGACATTAGCTACCTTCCAGTCCTCAGGAAAGGAGGCTGATTTTAAGGAAAGATTACATATTTTTGTAAGGAGATCCACAAGTTCACATTTGAGTTCTTTCAGAACTCTCGGATGTGTACCATCTGGGCCTGGTGATTTATCCGTTTTTGAGTTGTCTATCAGTTTTTAGGACCTCCTCTCTCGTCACCTCAATCTGACTCAGGTCTATCAACACCCCTCCCGAAATCAGCGGTTCTGGAGTGGGCAAGCACTTCTCATCTTCCACAGTGAAGACAGAGGCCAAAAATGCATTTAGCTTCTCAGCCATTTCCCTATCATCCTTCAGTACTCCTTTTACCCCTCGGTCATCCAAGGGCCCCACTCCCTCCCTGGTTGGTTTCCTGCTTCTCATGTATTTGAAGAAAAGTCTGTTATATGGAACACAAAATTAAATGAATCAGCTTATAAGAATTAATCACCTTCCCTAGGTCTATGTAGATACAAAATAGTGCAGTCTGAGTTTGGAACAAAATGAACCTGAACCTTCAATAAAAAACAGCCACGGCTGTCTCATTAAACGTTTATCAGAATGTTACTGCTTCTTCTGCAGAACTCAAGTGTGACTTTAATTGACCTTCCAGGACACGAGAGCTTGCGGCTTCAGGTCTTGGACAGATTCAAGGCTGCAGCTAGGTAATTATCAGATGAATGGTGGGGTTTTGGTTTTTTTGGGTCTTTCCCCCCCTTTCAGACTGTAACCAGAGTGATTTTTGGATGATGAAGCTAAAGAGGCACGTAAAATCTAGCCAACCCACAAATATAAAGCATCTTCCAGACCTTTGACTTTAAACTTTTCTGTCTGCCCAGTTGGATGCGGGAAGAAAGGCAACAGGATGTGTTTGAGACTCGCGAGAGCTTTTTTTTTTTTTGAGAGGGTAAAGTGTAGAAGGAGAAAGTTGATGAGGGCCAGAAGCCACTTCAGAAACCTGACTATAAAGAGCAGGCCTGTACAACATAAGGACAATATTGCCACCCCTTCTCTGGGAAATTCCAAATAACCATTGTTTGTGTCCTTTCCCACATTTTTGTGGGAGCACTTAAGACCTTCCTGAGCCCAACAGAAGTGGGGATTGGGATGGGTGAGTACTTGTATCACTATATCTATGGCCTGCTGCCTGGGATTATTCAGAGGCATGTATGGAATTGGCAACAGTTCTTCCAGCTTGTGTGGATCAGCCACACCACACTGCATACATGTCTCAGACCAGTAAAGTTGTATAAGTTGTATCAGCTGCTTGGAGAATGAAAGGAGGGGAAAAAATAAGCTGGTTCATGGGACAGAAATGTTAAAAATAGTGGCTAATGTTACTAAGGAAAAGTGGGGAACTGCGAATGGGGTTCAGAGGCTTGTGATGGTGTAGAGAGAGGAGAATGCATTGGGGTGCAGAGAGTGAAGGAGGGGTGGCTGTGAAATGTGCCTGCAGAGGTGCCTGTACATGAGAATGGGACTGCGGAGTAGAGAGCAGCCCTGTAGCCAGGAAATTCACTAAGGGGAGGCTTTCGATTGGGGTGTGTGGTGCCCCCCCACATGTGGTGATGTCACTAGTGATGTCACCACGAGTGACTTTTCTCCTCCCTCTTTGTTGGAGAGGGAGGAAGAGAGCTGAAGAGGAGGCAGCCAGGCTCAACTTGAGCCACTCAGGCTTTTCTCCTCCCTTCCCTAGTCTTCGCTAGCCAATGAGACCGGCCATCGGCTCCCAAGGGCTTTGGAGAGCCGATAGCCCTACTCACTGGCTGGTGAAGAAGATAGGGTGAGGCGTCTGGGCAGGCCCATTGGAGAATTAGAGAATGGCCCGCCCAGGCACCTCACTGCATCTGTTCCAACCAGCAAGTCGTGGAGAGCTGATGGCCTGTCTTGCAGGCTGTCGAAGGGTGGGGGTGGGGCAAGGAAAGCTTGTGCCACAGTGGGGCTCTGCTCTGATTGCAGGGGGGGGGGCTCAGCCCCTACAGCCCCTCTGCTGGCTGTGGTCCTGATGGAGAGAGGAAGGGGGAGGGTCAAAAGGCTTTGAAGGAGATGTGTAGTTGTGCAAAGAGTTAACATTTCATAGAGAGAACAGGAGTATTAGATCAACAAAATGGTTTAAATGTCTACATTAAATCAAAACTTTCACAGCGGTTTTTAGCTGATAATGTAGCCGTGTGGCTCTTTTAACTTAGTAGAAATGTAAAAGTGGCCCTTAAAAAGATTTAAGTTGTACATCTGGTTCCTGTCAAGGTTGCGCATGCCATGAAGCTATGATCATTGTAGAATTGAGGACTGTGAAAACTCTTGGTTTGGTGGCTGTGGCTTCCATAAACTTGAAATTCATTTTCTGAAAGCAACACATTATAGCTGCCATTTTTGTTGATTTCAGAGACTGTCAGTACAAATAGTGTGACAGTAGCAAAATGATCCACTCATATGCTAAAGGAGAATCCTCATGTGGAGCAGCATTAAAACTCTTGGTGAACTGTGTGTTCTTAACATTACATGAACACATCAGACCTTACTGAGTTGGTGATAATGCACCTGGACTCCTTTGATAAGCACTGTTCATGCGAAGTTAGTTTTTTACTGCGATCCGAGGCTGCCACTTAATGTCATCCTCCTTTGTTTTTGCAGGGCGATTGTGTTTGTTGTGGATAGTGTAACATTCCAGCGGGAGATGAAGGATGTGGCAGAGTTCCTGTACCAGGTCTTGACTGACAGTGTGGTGCTGAAAAATGCACCGCCCCTACTAATAGCCTGCAACAAGCAAGGTAAAGTAGATGGAGTGTTTGCAGATTCACAACTCACAATTTCATTTATTTGTGGTCAGAACACATAAGGCAGTCTCTTGCCGGTTTTCACTCCCACCATGCTGTCATTGAATTTGCTGCATTTTGTGGGGAATTTGATTGTTTTGCTGCTGTAAGGCAGCAGGATCTCTGCATCCCAGGATTCACAGATCTTGTCATTCATGGTGATTCCAGGAACGGATCCCCTGCAAACAGTAAGAATCTACTTCAGTCACTTGCAAATGAAATAATGGCCATTTGCAGGGTGGGTGTAGATTCTTAAAAGTTTGCCATGTTCCCATAACCTCTCTCTTGCCTGGAGACTCTGTATGTCTCATCCAAATTGAGGTATAATCTATCTAGCCTCTAACAAAGCAGGAGATGGCAGAAAACCACAACAAGGACAGTCTGGCTACAACATGCATAAAGTGTGCCTTCTTTAGCATGCTAGCATTTTGTAGGCTTTCTATGAAGAATTTATTTTTACTATAAAATCAACAATACGAACTGTATATCGATCTCTTCATTTGATGGACTTTGTAAATGCCGTAAACAAATGGTGATCCTTTATAAAATTTTGTTCATATTGGAACTGGTAAATTTATTTGTATTTGCAATAAAGCATTACAGTGTTTTTGCTTGTTTTTTCCTTCTGTATACACTGTAAGTCCTGATTGTTTCAGCATGGGTGTCTCTTTCAGCACTTGAGTTATACAGGTGGGTTGGAATGCTTACCTGTTTTTATTGATATTTAAGCCTTAGTCATTATGCTCCAGAAATAGGGCATCAGGCTGTAAAATAATGAATGTGGCCTATGATTTCTGTTTAGTCTAGGAAAAGGAATGTATGTGGAGGTTATGGGTGATGTCATCTGTTCTCTTGCGGTACCCTTTGTCCTTGTTTACAAGAATAAAAAATAGTTTTGTCGTCTTCCTTGGAGCCTTCAGTTGTGTTTCTGCCAGTTTGCTTTTATAAAGATATCCGATGTTTCTTTATCTGAACAAATTGCAGTGTAAGTAGGAGTACCCTTTAGAAAAATATACAAGAAATTGTAGATTCCTTGTCTCTGAAAATTTCAGTACCAAAATAAAATCACAGATGTTGCGTTCTCTCTGTTAATCATACTATATTGTTTTCATGAAAATATTTTCCTTTCTTCCTTAGATGTCACAATGGCAAAATCCTCCAAACTTATACAGCAGCAGCTGGAAAAAGAACTGTAAGTTGAAGCAGTTAGTTTGTCATTCATGTACCTGTCCCAGTGTCAGAGTTGGAAGAGTCCCTTTAGGGCATGTAGTCCAAACCCCTGGTTAACCAGGAGATACAAAGATAATGCTATTCAAACAAATGTCTAACTAACCTCTGTCGTGAGAGAGCGAGCCCATCACAACCCAGGTAATTGATTCTATCATACAATTCCTGTTGCCATTATGATGTTTCTCCTAATGTTCAGCTGAACAGTGAACTTTAGTCCACATCTGCTGTCTCTACCCTGTTATTTTTATATTTCCATGTTCATTGGACTTGGATGGTAGAAAGGGCAGAAACGATGAGTAAGTCCCCCCCCCCCCCCCC